GCCAACATGTGGGATCATTTGTAAGAAAGAAAATAAGAGAGGTTAAATCGTGATCTTTTTCCTGACCGTTAACTTTTCTCTCTTGATTGTGTTTAATGATGGTCAGCTATGAAAAGATGAGGGCTGACCATTAAACACAATAAATGAGGAAAAGTTAAAAGAAGGTCAGGAAAACATTCTCTTTTTTTAGAAAAAATATTATTAAAATTTGATCATTGATTGCCAACAGAAAAAAGGAAAAAGGCAATCAATGTTTGATCAAATTTTAATATTTTTTTTAAAAAAGAGAATGGATGGATTTCAATTTTATTTTCTTTTTTCTTGTCATCACGATATCAATCGTATTTGATGACAAGATATTAAAAAGAAAATAAGAAATCCATCCAGGAGCTCTCAATAATTCTCTTTCTATAAGAAAAATGATCGGAGAACGGATTGTCACGAAGCTGATGCTCCACAGAGCCAGCCTATGGCTGATCAGCTTCGTTCCGTTCTCCACTTTTCTTTTAAAGAAAGAGAATAAATTGAGCTCCTGAATCCAACAGTCATTCATTTTTTCTTCATTTTTATAATCCAGCTTAGGAGAAGGGAACAAAATAATGCTGGATTATAATAAAAATGAAGAGAAAAAATGAAGATGTTGGATTCCTTTCTTGTAGTTGATCGAGGGAGAAGCCTTGAGGGCTCCTCGATCAAGCGCTTAAGCGCCTACAAGAAAGAGGACGCTACGATCGTATCATGAACGCTTCTCCAAAAGAATTTCTGCGGTCATTATTGATACGATCTCCAGTAGCGTCCTGTCTCTCAACCTTTCAATACCTTCTCTTTAGAAAGAAATGAAACGAAAGTTAGAGACGCTCTCTTAAGTTCCTGAAGAACTTGCGTCTCTGGAACATTCGTTTCATTCTTTCTTTCAGAAGAGAAGGTTGGTTGAGAGACGTTCAGCGGTGAGCCTGAGGGCTCAATCTTCATCAGGAAGATCCGCTGAACACATTTTCAAGAAAGAATAATTTTTATTAATTAATTTGTAAAAAAGAAATAGGAAATTTACAACCTTAATAACTATAAAAAATTCATCTTCTTATGAAAAATGCATTTCTCTTTATCATTGAGGATCTCTGAAAGGAAAAGCCTAATGTTTCCTTTTTGATTAATGCTGGCGTACTTATCATGAGCTGATGCCAGCAGTAAAAAAGAAAATATATTGCTTTTCCTGAGATCCAAGCAATGATTGAAAAAGAAAATGACAAGCGGCGGCAGATATACGAGCTCAGATCAGACAATGTCCGGTCCAACTTGTGCTTTCAACGAGCGACTAATGTGTCCTGAGGGACCGCTCGTTTAAAGAAAGCAAAGATTGGACCGGACAGAATCAGGAAGAGCTCGATTTCTTTAGCCGCCATTATTCCTTTCTCCACCTTCCAAATCTTCCCTTTTAAGAAATGAAAGTTATTAACTCGTGAGCAATAATTCTCTTTTCTTTTTATTCTTTTGCTCACGACATAACTTTCATTTCCTTAAAAGAAGAGAAGATGGAAGGTGGAGAAGGAATCAAGAACGAGCATATGTCATCATATCGCTGCATCAATCTCACTTCTTCAATCGCACATTTATTAAAAAGGAAAGCAAATGTGCGCAGAAGTGAGAATGATGATGCCAGTGATGATGACAGCTCGTTCAGATTCCTGACATTAAGAGCTCTCATTCTCCCGCTCTCACTTCAAAGAAGAAAAGACAAGAGAGAGCATGGGAGAATGAAAGAGCTCTTAATAAACGTCAGGAATCCTTCATTTTCTTTTTTCTTTGATAATCGTTCGATGGTTACTAAAGGTGCTTGTCTGAGCCTGTTGGCTCGCACCTTTACAATCAAGAACCATCGATTAGACGATTATCATAAGAAAATAATGAAAATGAATATCAGGAAATCATTAATTTTATTTATTTTCTTTTACAATTTAATAAAAAGAAAATATAAAAATAAAATTAATTAAAGATTTCCTGATAATTCCTTCTCATTTTCCTGCATTAAAAATTTTCCTTTCAACGAATTCATCAGGACAATCAATAATCAATTTACAAATGAAAAATAAAAAGTAAATTGATGATTGTCCTGATTGATGATTCGTAAAGGAAAATGTTAATGGAAAATGAAATGAAGATCAAGAACACGAATTACTATCTTCTTTTTCTTTAATTAATTGTAACAGACAATTAATTATTATTAAAGAAAAAGAAGGAATTCGTGTCTTGATCTTCCAACTGTCATTTTCATTCAAATAAAAGTTTTCAATCAACTGGCAATAGTTTTCCTTTTATTTATTATTAGATTGCCAGTTGATAAACTTTTATTTGAATAAGAAAATGACAGATTACAGGAAAGCATCAGATGACTGACCACAATAATGAATCCTTTCTTTTATAAAAGTGAAAGAAAGAAAGGATTCTGTGGTCAGTCCTGCTTTCCTGTAATGATGGCGGATCAATAATGATAGCTTTCCCGGCATCGGAGGCTTCATAAAAGGAAACAAGAAAGGAAGAGCCTCCGAGGAAAGCTATCATTATCCCGCCATCGTATCCACACGACAGGCGATAGGATTAAATAATAAGAAAGAAAAATTAATCAATTCATAATAAAGAAAATTCTATTTTTTGATAAAAGAATTTTTCATAATAATTTATTTTTCTTCCTATTAGTAATGAAAGATGCGTGTGGATGCACATGGAATTGCATTCCCAGTCCTTTGTTTCCTTTTTATCTGTGTTGGTAGGGTACTAATGAAGAGCTCTTCATAAAGCACTGCAGTGCAGCTCTTCATGGTCACACCGCCATCCATTGCATCAGGAATACGATCACGAGTCTATTTTTCTTTCTTAATAACATTTGTTTGATAACAAATGAAAGAAAAATAGAATACTCGTGATCTCCTGATGCAATCATTCCTTTACCAATTTCTCTCCTTTCTCTTTTTCTAAAGATGGGCACATAAAATAAAGAAATAGAAAGAGATTGTGCCCATCTTTAAGAATCGAGAAAGGAAAGGAGAAGATAGGAAAGGAATGCCTTCACGAGCAATAATTATTTGTTGGCAGAAAGAAGGAGAGAAGCTGCCAACAAATAAGTGCTCGTGAAGGAGATCCAGCGTTCATGAGAGCCCAGCTTGATGCTGGATTAGTCTCTCATGATCGATACGCTGGATCAAATTTCCTTTAATAACCGGTCCGAACTTCCTCTTTCTTAATGGCTGATGAGCCCTTAGGCTCGCTCTCTGCATATCAGCCAGTAAATAGAAAGAGAAAGTTCTTAGGACCGGATATTATAAAAGGAAATTTAATGGCCAGGCTAATGCTGGCACCAATTGTGGTGAACTGATGTTCAGGTCCTTCAGGACCTTGACAACAAAGGTTGCCAGCAGCTGGCCAGGATTACACGGCTGTAGCACACATTTCCCTTTCTCTTTTCTTTATTAACTGCAGCGGATGAAAGGGAAGACGCTGCAATAAAGAAAAGAAGGGAAATGATGACAGCCGTGTAATGGATTCCTTGCAGCATTACATTCCTTTCTCTTGCTTTCAACCTACAGCATAATCATGATCACGATATCAATCGTTTACGATCATGTGCTGTAGGTTAAAGCCCAAGAGAAGGAATGATGCTGCATAGGAATCGTCTCTTGATACGAATCACTTCTTTTTCTACGCTTAAGTGTGCTCAGCATCAGGCTGACATCAAAGCACACTTCTAAGAAAAGAAAAAGTGATTCTCGGGGGATCAAGAGACCAATCAAGAATAAAATTTGTTTAAAATAAAATGAAAACTTGATGTAAGCAAATATTGTTTTCTTAATTTTATTTTAATTCAAATTTAATCTTGATTGACAATCAAAAAATAATAAAATAAACATCTGAACGCATCAAATAAAAGATCAATAGAAAAGGAATCTGCGTTCAAGATGTTTAATTTTATTTCATTTTTTGATTGATTTCCTTGCCATCTTACAAGTGAGCGAAGGCTGATGCCCGATCTTGATGATCGTTCGCTCACGATGGCAAGGAAATGTTGGGACATCAATCGTGTTTCTCTCTTTCTTTATGAATGTTGGCTCACATGGAAGAGAAGAATCGAGCCACCATAAAGAAAGAGAATTAGAAACACGATTATAGGATGTCCCAACAAATCCAGAGACAATTTTCTTTTAAAATTAATTAATCGGTTCTTTCACTTTCGTTTCAATTAATTAATTTTAATAAAAGAAAATTTAAAGTCTCTGGATTGCATGAGGCTCTTGCAAAATAGCTGTCCTCCGTCTGGCACTTACTTTCTTTTCTTTTAGACAGCCAGACGGTTGAAGGACAGCTATTACGAGCCTCATGCCTGGCTGTATTTGATCCCCGGCGTCTCTCTAAAGAAAAAGAATTGATTATGCCGGGGATACAGCCAGGAGTTGGGACTTATGTCCTTCCGTCTCTTTCTTTCTTTATTTGTTGTGAGCATGAGCGTTCTTTCCCTTCAGCTCATTATAAGCTCACAACTAAAAAAAGAAGAAGAGACTAAGGACGTCCCAACAATCATTTTCTTAAAAATAAAAGTGATTATGCGTTCATTATCTTCCTTGTGAGCACTATTTTCCTGTTTTCTTTTATGTGTGCTAACAAGAGAAGATAATTTGAACGCACACTTTTATTAAAGAAAATGATGGAAAGAAGTCCTGATATCGCTGGCCAAGTAAAAGAAAATATGAAAATGCCAGCGAGGACTTATTTCCGTCTCTTTTTCAATCTTTTCTTTGGCCATTAACCGATCACTCTCTTATTTTCTTTTTTAATAATTGATCGGTTATTAATGGCCAAATGAAAAGGAAAAAGAGACAGGAAATCCAAGAATTGATTGCTATTATTTTCCAGTTTCTTTCTTTGTGGTCCTTGATGATGGCAACACAGGAAATAATAAAAGCCATCATCAAGAGAGAGACACAAAGGAAGAGGAAAATAATGCTCAATCTTGGATTCCAGACAACTTTTTGATCTTTCTTTAAAATAAAAGTTATCAATTCGTGAGCTCATAGGAGATAGAAAAAGGAATGATCACGAAATAACTTTTATTTTGTAAAAGAAAGATCAAGAAAAAGTTGTCATCACGATTCTAAGATCCGTTTCTTATTTACAACCGTTGTCTATCATCTTTCTTTTCTAAAAGAAAAAGAAGAAGAAAAGAAAGATGACAACGGTTGATAAGAAGCGGACAGTGAATCGTGATTCTCCCTTGTGGAAGACAGCAATAATATTATAACCGCTTGCAGCTTCCTTTCCAACTTCTGGATTATTCGTTTCTACGGACCACCGACTGGCTCTTTTTTTCCTTTAATAGGTGGTCCGTTAGAAGAAACGAATGAAAAGAAGTTGGAAGCGGAAAAGCTGTGCGGTTAAAGATCAGCTGTCTTCCTCTGGCTCTCTATTCCGCAATCATTCTTTTCTTTAGTGTGGCTTCATTAAGAGAAGAAATAAGAGAAACGCCACACTAAAGTAAAAGAAGATTAAGCGGAAGCTCTTGAAGAGCCAGAGCCAGATAAGGATCCAGCGGTTAATAATGAGACCGTCGTGAGCTTCTTTTTCTCTTTCAAGAGAACGCTCACGACCTTGGGCTCATTATCCGCTGGATCATTGACGGTTAACTTATTTTTCTTATTGACAGCTTTTCCTTTAACTGCTGTCAATAATAAGAAAAATAATTATTTAACCGTCAATAATCAAGACTAAATAATTTTTCTTTAAATAAATTTCTATTTCTCTTTTCTTAAAGAAATTTATAAGAAAAATTAATTTAGATCTTGATTAGAGAAAAGCTTGTTTTTCTTTTTATTATTTTCCAAAATTTCATTTTAATGAAAGAAAATAATAAAAGAAAAAAATCCAAGCTTTTCGATTTCCTTTTCATAATTCCTTCTTTTGTCTTTATTATCAATTGGCTGTTCTTTTTTCCTTTATTTTATTGCCAATTGATAATGACAAAAAGAGAAGGAATAGAAAGGAAATCTTATCATTAATTTTTATTCATTTGAAAGAACAGAATTAATTGGATCATAATATCCGTCCATCATTGAGTCCTTAAAAAAGAAGAAAAGATTGGGACTCAATGGACGGATAATGATGATCCAATTTCTGTTCTTGAATTCAAAGGAAAATTAATGATCCTGGCTGTAATGATGTCTTCGTTCCACCGTCTATCAATAAAGAAAGGAAAATAGGTGGAACGTTAGGAAGACATCATTATTACCAGCCAGGCATTCCTTTTCCAATTTCCATCTCCTTTACGATCGCACACAACTAATTCCTTTCCAAATGTTGTGTGGATGATCGTAAAGATGGAAATGGAAAGGAATGATCACTTTTTTTAAAGAAAGATTTATAAGAAGAAAAATTAAAAGTAAACTTAAGATTGAAGATGAGATGTCCTTCAGGACCTTCAATCGTTTACTTTATTTTTCTTCTTATTCTTTCTTTTATAAAAAAGTGATTGATGAGCCCGAAGAAAGAGCCAATTAATCGAGCGAAGCACTCTAGTGCCAGCGATGAACGCTGTTCGCTCGATTGGCTCTTTCTTTTCTACGGGCTCATCACTTCCCGGATCACTTAAAGAAAATGAATGAAAACTAATTTCTTCAGAAATTGATCAAAGTTTTCATTTTTCATTTTCTTTAATCCGGGAAGTTGGAAGCCTTGGGAATTTTCTTGTAACCGGTTAATGATCTCACCCACAGACGCTTTTCCTTTTCCCTTTTTTCTTTATTATGCGTCTGGGGAAAGGTGAGATCGTTATTAACCGGTCAAGATAAATTCCAAGCCAAGGCTTCCATCACACGGAGAATCATATTTTTTCTCTTAATCTTTTCTTGAATTAAATTTCTATCATTTTACAAATGAAATTTAATTAAGAAAAGAAAGAGAAAAATATGGATTCCTAACCGTGTGATCTTCTCTTTGATCCCGGCAAACATTAAAAGAAAAGGAAATAGTTTGCCGGGCTTCTCTCTCTCTCGTTCTCATCATATCAATTGCAAATAATTAAAAGAAAAAGCAATTGATTATGATGATGAGAACGAAGGAGAGAAGATCAAAGAGAAGGTTGGACAGGCGGTTAGTGTCTCAAGATGTGTTTCTGTGGGCCTTTGAATAAGACTCAGCTTATGGCCCACAACATCTTGAGCACGTAACCGATCTCTTCAGGAGATCCTGTCCAACATCTGGCGGTCACAAAAAAGAAAAAGAAGCATCTGACCGTCTTTAAGAAAAAGAATAACGGTCAATCAAGATGCTTCTTCTTTTTTGTGTCTAACCGCCAGTTAACTTTCCCGCTCACGACATAATTCCTTTCTTTGGTTCCAAACGTGAGCATAATTCCTTTGCAAGTGCTCACATTAAGTTTGGAAACCAAATGAAAGAAAATTTCTGGTCGTGATTATAGCGGGAAAGCTTTCCTTTCTGAACGCCAGTGAAGGCATAACCGGTTGATCAACCTTCGATCACGAGAGCCTCAGCCGTTAATGGGCCTCAAGCCCTGGCTGATGAAGGCTCTCGTGAAGGTTGACCGGTAATGCCTCACGGCGTTAAAGAAAGGAAAGAAAGAACCAGACGATCGTACCCTCGCTTCTAACTGCTGACCCTTAATCCCTTTCTTTTTTCTTTAATGTAGGGTCAGCAGAAGTTAGAAGCGAAGGGTTCCGATCCACTGTCTGGTTCTGTCTCTTTCATAACAAGAAAAACAAATTGATTTCTAATCCTTTATCCAGCATGATCAAGTTTCTCGATTTGAAAAATAATAAGAGAAACTCATGCTGGATGATTAGAAATCTGTTTTTCATGATCATGAAAGAGACGATAGGAAGACCTTCTTTCTCTCTTTATTGTGTGCGTCAGCATCAAGCTGGCTCTCAAGAGCACGCACACAAGAGAGAAAGAATAATGGTCTTCCTATCATTCATTTTCAATTTTAATATTTTCCAATCATAACTTTCCAATATTTTCCTATTTCTATTTTTTATTGGAAAGTTATCGGAAAATATTATTGAAAATGAATTCCAGAGATCCATCATTATCCAGCGTTCACTTAAAGTGAGCCCAGAGCTTTCTATGAGCCCGTTCCATCATTCCATGGGCTCAACGCCGGGCTCACGTGAACGCTGGAAATGGATCTCTGGACTCATCACTGGCTGTAACAACATTTCGTTTACATTTTTCTTTATGAATCGTCTTCCAAGCTGATGGCTATTTCTTTTCTTTATTGAGGCCATCAGCAGACGATTCAATTAAAGAAAAAGAAACGAAAGTTGTTTGATCGCCAGTGATGGTGGGCCCATTATTAATGTTGTGACATCGTGTGCGATCATGGTGACCCGTCATCAGACGTGAGCTTGCGCTCTCACCCGCACACAGATGATGTCACAACATCGGGCCCACACACATCCTCCACCTGACGCTATTTCTTTCTTTGTGGATCAGCAATTGCTTTCTTTTACAATAATTGCAATTGCTTCCGGATCCACTAATAAAGAAAGAATTAAGAGCGTCAGGAGCTCGAGGATGTGTCATTTTCCTGTAGAACCAATTTCTTTCTTTCCTTTCTTAAGTCGTGATCCTTAATCTCTGGCTCTTACTTCTTTAATGTGGGAATTGAGCCAGAGATTGATCACGACTGAAAGGAAAATGAAAATTGGTTCAGGAAAATGATTCACAATTAAATAAAGGAAAGAAAAAATAATGTACGGACTAATTATTAAAGAAAAGAAAGTAAAGATCGTCCGTACAATTATTTTCTTTCCATTTAATTGTGAATGAAGAGATGGATATCATGACACGTATCATCTGTGGGTGGCGGTGAGCTTAAGCTCTAACTTTAACCGCCATTACCCACAGTGATTAATCGTGTCATGCCATCTCTTCACCTCCAAGATTTGATTTATTTTCCAATATTTTCTTCATTTGTGGTCTTTGATGATGGCAACAGAGAAAACAAGAAAGGCCATCATCGACCACATTAAATGAAGAAAAAGGAAAATAATAACAAAATCTTGGAGGATATCTCTTGCAAATTCTTCTTTTTAAAAATAAATTTATAAATGGTGAGAATTAATTATCTCTGAGCTCACCATTTAAATTTATTTTTAAAAAGAGAAGAATTAATAGCAAGAGATTATTATTTATTTTATCATTGACATTTCTATTTTCTTTTCATAAGATCTTGGCTATTAATAATTAATACTAAGGAAAGGGAAAAGCCAAGATCTTAAAAAGAAAAGAAAATAAAGAAATGATGATAAAATAAATGATTATAAAATAGAAAACTAAAATCTCTGAACTTATTATCTTCTGTTCTTTTAATTTTATTTGATAATAAAAATTAAAAAGAAGATAATAAGTTGATGACAGAGATTTCTAGTTTATCATTTTATAATCGTCTCTTTCATAACCATGGAATTTATTTTCATTAGTGGCCAATAGAAAAAAGAATAAAAGACAAGGCCACTAATGATTAAAATAAAATTCCATTGATGAAAGAGACAGGATCAGGAATAAAATTATCCGTCGGTCGGGACAAGTTTTCACTCTCTGGCTAACTGTGGCGGTGGAATAGGACCTAAGGTCCCCGCCATCAGTTATTAAGCCAGAGATTGAAAGCCCGACCATATGACGGATAATCACCCTGATCCTGAACACTTTTTTCTCTTAATTTCTTGTGAACTAATGCTGGCTCGAATATCAGCCTCAAGCTGATGCCAGCATTCACAAGAAATTGTAAGAGAAAAAAAGTTAATCGTTGACGGATCTTTGATTTAATTTCTTATTTTCTTATAATCGTTTACAAATAATTTTTCTGAAAGAAATTAAAATTATTTTCTAGTAAACGATTATTAGAAAGAAATTAAATCCATCAATCATGTTTTCCTTCTTCTTTTTAATAAAATAAATATTTGATGTGAACGCAAGAGAAAAGAAAATGCGTTCACAATATTTATTTTAAAAAAAAGAAGTAAGGACATGATTGATGAAGATTCCTTGACAACTATATTTTCTTTGTAAACTCATTGATCACTTTAAGTGAAGAAAAAAAGTGATCGTTTACAAAAGAAAAATAGTACAAGGAATCTTGATCCAGTGCTAACAGCTAATTCTTTCTTTTCTTATTATTAGAAGCGAGCCTAAGGGCTCAGACGCTTCTAATAAGAAAAGAGAATTATTGCTGTTAGCGTAACTGGATCTATTTCCTTTACCAATATTTTCCTTTATTTGAAAGAGAAAATTAGAAAGTTGTCAATTGATTGTTATTTTGTTTTTCTTTTTAACAATCAATTGTGAGACAACTTTCATTTTCTCTTCAAATAAAAAAGGAAAATGGTAAAGGAAATGTCCGTGCCTCAGTTGCTAGAGCGACAGCCTTAGGCTGGCCAGTAATGGCTCGCTCTTTTAGCAACTGAATCAGGCACGGACAGAAAGGAAAAGTAAAATTATTGATGGCTCTTCCAGCAGCTGATAAAATAAAAAATAAAGATAAAGAGACTGCTGCTGGAAGAAAGAGCCATCAATAAATTCTTTTCCTTTCGTCTCTTACGATCGTGTCTTTTTCTTTTTTCTTTATTGAAGCGTCCAGCTTACAGCTGATCCATCAGACGCTTCAAATAAAGAAAAAGAAGACACATCGATCGAAAGAGACAAGAGAAAGCTCCGATTGGACGGGTCATATAATGCCATCAGGGCATTCCCGTCCGAGCTTTCTCTTATCAGCGGTAAGAATTTCTTCATTCCATCAGCAATCTTCTATTTCATGCGGTCAATCAAATACAAATAGAAAAGAGAACGATTGACCGCAATAGAAATACGATTGCTGGAATGAAGACTTACCGCTGAGATCAGGAAAATAGCTGTCAACATTTATCACGAGCCTAATAACGATGGCAAGGTCCTGAAGGACTGAGCATGAAGCTCACCATCGTAGGCTCGTGATGTTGACAGCGAATCAATTTTCCTGATCCTTTCATCATCGATCTTCCGCTTGCTTTCCTTTCGTCTCTTTGAAAGAGACAAAGCAAGCGAAGATCATACGATGATGAAAGAGAAAAGAAGTGAGTCTAAGACCGCCGTCTATTAATCATCTCTTTCTTTCTCTTAATAAATGAGGAAAGAGATGATAGACGGCTGGTCAAGACACTTCTTTTCTGTGGCCTTGAGGGCCACCTTTCATTTCATAAAGAAATGAAAGAAAGGAATCTCTGAACTCCGTGTCCTTTCTCTTTTCTTTTGTAAAAGAAAACAAAAGAAAAGCGGACACGGAGTCAGGATTCCTTTCATTTCTTTAAAGAAATGAAAGAGATCCAGCGTTAGGTTCTCACCTTCTTCATTTCCTTTGATAGAAAATGAAGGTGATGAACACGCTGGATCTAGATTTCCTGTAGGAACGCTCATCAGGAGCGCATAAGCCGGCGAGCCAATAAGAGGCCTCAGCCTCGGCTCTTTCTCCGGCTTATGTTCCACAGGAAATCGAAGAAAACGAATCATTCATTCTAACCGCCCATTAAAAGAAAATGATAAAGGACATGGCGGTTAGAATGAAGATTCGTTTTCTCTTTCATCATCCATCGATTCCCGGTCCATCTTCTTTTTCCTGTTGATGGCATTAAGGAAAAGATGAGCCATCAACGGAAAGAAGAGATTGGACCGGAGAACCTGGATGATGAAAGGATTCCTGATCTAGGATCGCTTCTTTTCCATCATCTAGTGCCGCTATTAAAGAAAATAAAAGAAAAGGGAACTAGCGGCACCAATGATGATGGAAAGAAGAAATCCGATCAGGAATCAATCCAGTGCGGACAGAGAAGATTAGTTAACCGCTGATGCTGATGCATCGTATCGTTTGCGGTTAACCTTCTCTCGCACTGGATTAAATGCAGGCCCAGAGAACATTGGCTTTTCTCTTTCTTTCAAGAAGCGTGCGCATCAGCGCAATCAATCGCTTCTTTTAAGAAAGAAAGAGAGCCAATGTAGGCCTGCATTTGTTTCCTTTCAACCGTCGGTGAGCTCTTAACTGCCTCAGCAGTTTTCTTTGAAGAGCTCTTTCTCGACGGTTGGTAAGGAAACGATCACTGATCCTGGATCACGCTCAAGATCATGCATTTTTCTTTAGAAGAGTCGTTCATCAATGCAGGTGATCTGAGGATCAGTCCTTGAGGGACAACCTGCTGAACGACTCTTCAAAGAAAAGGAATGCAATGATCGGATCGTGTTCCTCTGGATCAGTGATGTGGGCCCACAGGATCATGACAACCTTCTCGTCGACTCTCTCTTTCTTTCTCTTCTTATAGAAAGAGAGAAGACGATGAAGGCATGATCCTGTCTCTGGGCCCACCTTTCCTTTCCCATTTCACTTGGTCGTTTTCTTTTCTTAATTGATCTCTTATGTGAGCATGAGATCAATGAAAAGAAAGACCAAGTGAAGGAAAGGAAAGATCTCTTCGATTCAATCAGGAGACCCTTGTTTTCACTTTCTCTTTTATTAAATGTGGGCATCAGGCCCACATAAAAGAGAAAGAACAAGTGTCTCAAGATTGAATGAAGAGATGATTGGCGGGTTAACAATTGATCGCATGAATGAAAAGAATAAGCGATCAATTACCCGCCAATCTCTTTCCTGTGGATCATCTGCCGGAGATAGAGCGAGCTCTTGAAGAGCCAGCCTGAAGCTGTCGCTCATCCACCGGCAGATTGATCATCCACAGGAAAGGAATCCTGTCCGCGTCTACGTGAGCTTAATGTCAGCATCAGGCTGACGCTCACATAAATGTAGACGCCCAGGACAGGATTCAATCCCAGGACCATTGCTTCCCTTTCATAAGAGAAAGAGAGAATCGTGCGTTCGTGAGCTCATTTTCAATCTACGATTGAGGCTCACGTGATGAACGCACGCTCTTTCTCTTTTTTAAAAGGGAAGCAATATATGGCCTGGGATTCCATCATTCATTATCCTTCTGCGAACCTTGGAGATCTTGACAGCTAAGTCCTGAACTTATGTCAGGCTGTCAAGATCAAGGTTCGCAAGGATATGAAGGATGGCTTTCCTTTCCAAGAAGAAATTAAAATGTAAACTGGTAATGAAAATGTTGTCACAAAGATTTCCTGAAGAAATCCAACATTTTCCCAGTTTACAATTTCTTCTTTATGGAAAGGAAAGAAGGACACGATCACTTTTATTTTTCTCTTTTGACTTTTCTTTTGATGAACGATATCAATCGTTCTTCTATCAAAAGAAAAGAAAGAGAAAATATAAGTGAAAACGTGTCCTTACAACATTTTCTTTTAAAAGAACAAGAGAACGGATTGAAGCTGATGCACTGCAGTGCCAGCCTAAGGCTGATCAGCTTCATATAATCCGTTCTTCTTTTCTTTTAGAAAATGTTGTGATCAAGAGTTCTCGTTTTTCTTTTTTCTTTAATCGTCTATTTTCTTTCTCTTGACGATTAATAAAGAAAAAAGAAAAGAACGAGAAAACTCTTGATCCACTTTCCTGTATGACCGAAGGTTGAAGCCCAGAGGGCTCTTCGGTCATGATCGCATCAGCGATCACAGGAAAGTGATGCCTGGCGGAAAAGAGCTCTCATTCAGCTTCAAGCTGAAGCTCTTTTATCGCACCGCCAGGCATAATGGCCAGATCTTTAATCTTGAGATCTTTCTCTTCCTTGGTTCTGCTGGCATCTACAATCTCACTTTAAGAAAGGAAATGAAGTGAGATTGTGCCAGCAGATTACAAGGAAGTGAAAGAAGATCAAGATTATCTGGCCATGAATTCCTTTCTGACGATCTCTTTATCAGCGGTCTTGGAAGAGCTTCAGCTTCAAGCTGAGGCCTACAGGCCAGCTCTTCCAGATTGACCGCTGAAAAGAGACGAGACGAAAGGAATTCGCTTCCTTGAAGGAAGCATTACACGCCAATCTACAGGACCTGGATCTAAAAGAGCTTCCATCAAATCATCGCTTGCTTAATAAAAGAAAAGACAATGCAAGCGATTATGATTTGATGGTGAAGCTCTTTTGATCGGTCCTGAAGGCGTGTAATCTCTCTCTTGATGGTGCGATCAAACCACACGATGGATAATGGCTCGTCAGCATCAGCTGAGTCCCTAAGGACCGAGCCATCATTACCATCGTGTGGATCTGAGATCGCACCTTTATCAAGAGAGAGAGTCCGTGCATGCACGGACATGGAAAATAATGCTGTGAGGAGCTCCTCTTCAGATCAATCTCCTAAAGAAAGAGCATCAGCTCGGAGATTGAAGAGGAGCTCAGATCACAGCATTCTATTTTCCATTTCATCCTCCATCTCATTTCCTTTATAATTTAAAAAAGAAGAAAACGAAAGAGAATGAAGATAAAATGTGAGCTTTCTTTCAAGCATCGCTTGGCTCACATCTTCATTCTCTTTCATTGTTTTCTCTTATTTTAAATAAAGGAAATGATAACCTGGAGGATGAATGAAGAGATCTTCAAGGGCTTACATTTTTTCTTTTTGATCGTGTACGAGCGAATTAAGACCTTATGGTCCGCTCGTATCGATCACGATCATTAAAAGAAAAAATATTGTAAGCCCGAACTGATCTCTTCATCTTTACGATCAATAAGAGAAAATGTAACTTCTGACCAACAAATGAAAAAGAAACTGTTGGTCATAAGAAGTTACAATATTTTCTCTTGATCGTAAAGGTGTTTCCTTTAGATGAACCGTCCATGAGCTCACAATCGAAAAGGTCCTGATGGAGCACTGCAGTGCCAATTGAAAATTGCCTTTTCGAAGAGCCCATGAAAGACGGTTCACGAGAAGGAAACACAAATTCATTTTCAAATAAAATTTAATTTTAATTATTTCTAAATTTATTTTTTATATGACAGCATCATATTAATTTCCTATTTCTTTTTCTTTAGGAAATTGATGCTGTCATGATTATAAAAAATAATTTAGAAAAATATAATTAAAATAAATTTATGAAAATGAATTAAAGAAAGAGATCGTGACATTCATTCTCTCTTGATTTGAGACAGCTTTCTTTAACTGCGTGTCTTTTATACGAGCGAATCAAGTGCTGAAGCACAGCTCGTATGACACGACAGTTGAAAGCTGCTCTGGATCAAGCGAGAGAATGAACAACACGTTAATCTCTTTCTTTGTCTCTTTCAACATATCGTTCACATTTTCTTTTTCTAAAATTAAAATTAAATAGTTGACAGCAGAGATTTCTTCAGTGATCTGTCAACTATTCATTTAATTTTAATAAGAAAAAGAAAATAAATGTGAACGATTGAAAGAGACGAATCCAGAGATCAATAATTTTCTTTTCTTGTGAATAATCGTCTGTCATTTTGATGGCTAATTCTTTTCTTTCTTGTAGACGCCATCAAAATTATTGACAGACGATTCACAAGGAAAGAAAATTCTCTCTGGATTCATTTTCCTTTTCGATCTTCTTCTGGGCTTCCTCTTTTCTCTGCTGGCCTCTCTTAAAGAGAGAATCTGTTGCCAGCAAAAGAGAAAAGATAAGGAAGCCCTTATGGAAGAAGATCTTGGAAAAGGAAAATTGATAAAAATTTCTTTCTTAATTATATTTTTCATCATCCTCGGTCTTTCTTCTCTTATCCTTTTTCTTTATATTGACCGAGGATGATTATGAAAAATAAATTAAGAAATGTAAAATTTTTATCTTATTCATTTTTTATTTGAAAAGAAATTTGATCCGTCGGTAAGAGCTGAGCCTCAATCCGTTCTCTCTTTCTCTTTTCATAAGAGAACGGAGGCTCTGAGGCTCTTACCGACAAGAGGATCAAATTTTACTTTTCAAAAAAATGAATAGATGACCGCAGAAGAATACCTTCTTTCTTTCTTTTCTATTGTGGGCGTGTATTCTTTCCTTTAATGTGATCGCCCACAAAGAAAAGAAATGAAAGAAAAGGTATTGCGGTCATCCTTTCACGGTCCCATCTTTTTCTTTTTTACAAATTAAAAGAAAACATTTCTTGAGGAAATTATTGTTTTCTTATTTTAATTTGTAATAAAAGAAAAGATTAAGGACTTCGTGAAAGCTTTCCTTTCCATTAATGCCGGCAATTAACTCTGGGCTCGATGTCTTCCTTTCTTTTTATTAATGAAGAGCCCAGAGTTGCCGGCAATGGAAAGGAAAGAATGGCGGCCTATTAATCCACGAGCTGATGGCCGTTATTCTCTTTCTTTGTGTCGGCCATCATATGCTCGTGGATTAGCCGCCATTGATGGACAGACCCATGAGATCTTGAATGCTGTGAGCTCTTGATGAGCTGGCCCTAAGGCCCACAGCAAAGATCTCATGAAGTGCGTCTGTCCATCACTTTCCTGTAAGAAAGGAGAAGAACCGGGGCTTAGCTCGTGCTCATTAATTGTGGGCTTGGAAGAGCGCTTAACCGCTCCCCACAATTAGCACGAGCAAGCTATTCCCGGTCTCTCCTTTCCATTACAGGAAAGGAAAGGAAACGGATGAACACGTCATTGACTTTGACACGATTGTTCTTTTTCTTTTGTGAGATCGTGTCAAAGGCATGACGTGTCATCACATCGTTTCCTTTCTCTTAATGAATCATTTATTTTCTAATTATTTAAAAAGAAAAAAGAGGATTAGAAATTATTTATTTTATATTTGTAAACAAATATTAATAAAAAAATAAATAATTAATCCTCTTATCTTTTCTTTTTAATAATTACTTTTTTCTTTTCCTTTGATCATTTTTTCATCATTCTTTTTTCTCATTGTCTCATTAAAGAAAATGCTTTTTCTCTTCTTCTTGTTCTTATGACAGCTTTCTCTGAAGAGAAAATATGTGCTGTCATAAAGAAAGAACAAGAAATTAGAAGAGAAAAATAGCATTTTCTATTAAGAGACAATGATAAGAAAAAAGATGATAAGAGAAAAAATGATAATGCGGGATAATAATAAGAGCTTCCTCATGATTCTCTTTATCTTTTATTTGATATTTCCTTTTCCTTTATCAAATAAAAGAAGAGAATCATAAGAAGGAAGCTCTTACTATCCCGCATTGTCATCAGGAGATTCATTATCCAACATTAAGAATCACAAGATTAAATTTTAATTTTATTTCAAATAAAATTAATAATCTTGTGAATGTTGGATAATCTCCTGATGACGATCACGCTTTCTTTATTCTGTGGCCCCAAACAACTTTCTCCTTTGCCTTGTCCTTTCTCTTTTATTAAAGCGGACAAGGCAGAGAAAAGGAGAAAGTTGAAGGCCACAAAGAAGAAAGTGTAAGCGTGATCCCTTTCCTTTACTTTTAATAAAAGAAAAAAGAAAACAAATGAAGAAGAAGAAATAAAAGAAAAATATCAATCTTTGATTGAAAACTCATTTTTCTATTTCTTCTTCTTCCTAATTTGTTTTCTTTCTTTTATTAAAAAGAAAAATGAAAATAAAATTAAAATTTAATATCATGCCAACTTCATCCTCAAGATGAAATCATGTTGGCATTAAATTTTAATTTTATTTTCTATTTTTCTTTAAGTAAAGGAAAGGAACACATTTTCTTACAATAATTAATTTTAATTTTAAATATTTTCTTCTTTCTAATTTCATCAGGAAATTAGAGAAAATATTTATTAAAATTAATTTATTGTGAGAATGTGTTCATGTAAACGAATGTTATCAATCTTCTCTTCCGCTTTATTCTCTTCTATGTGTTGGCTTGTCTCTTATTAATTGCCAACACATAAAAGAAGAGAATAAGAAAGCGGAAGAATAAGAAGATTGATGTCAACAATCGTTTACGAATCCATCGATAATGTCGGCTCTAATAAAGGTGCGCTCAACGATTGCTTCCTTTCTTTTTCTTCAATCGTTGATTGTGCGCACCTTTAGGCCGACCGATGGATTCCCTGGACACCCTGGATCTTTAAGAAAAGAGAGAATCAAATGGTCGGTCATAAGATAAAAAATGAATGATAAAATGATTGACCGACCGATTCTCTCTTTCTTAAGATGGGTGTCCAGGAGATGACCGGCAGATCAATCAAAATGAGTTCTTATGGACGAGCTGAAACGCTTTCATCACTTGCGTTTCATTTGATAGCTCGTCCAGGAACTCTTTTGATGACCTGCAGGTCATCCTTTTCCTTTCTTTTCCTTTGAGCCCCACATTCTCCTTTTCATTGATGGCCTGAGCTGTAAGCTCGTATGATGAGGCCATCAAATGAAAGAGAATGTTGGAGGCTCAAAGAAGAAAGGAAAAGAAGACACGCTCCTAATAAAAGAAAAGAAAGAAAAGGGAAAACTATGATTGCATCTGCAGATGCCAGTTTTCCTCTTTCTTTTCTTTATAAGAGCGTGTCTGTGGCCCTGATGGCCACCATTCCTTTGCAAGCGATCCAGACAGAGCTTCTCTGCAAAGAGAAAATGAAGCTCTTTTGTCTGGATCTGATCTTGCAAAGGAATGATCCGTGCGATCCAATGGTCCTGATCATGATGAAGAGCTCAACATCAGGTTGGCGCTACAGCGCAGCTCTTCATTCAGGATCATAGGACCATCATCGCACGGATCTAATGTGGGCACAATCGTAGGCCTGAAAGAAAGAGACGCTTATATGTCCTTCAGGACCGTCTCTTGATCAGGCCTTCGATTAATGGTGCCCACATTCTTTCCTGTGACTAATCGTGTTTAACCGGTTGATCGGGAAGAGCGAAACAAGTCCTGATGGACAGCTCTTCCAACCGGTTAAAATACACGATTTGTGTCACAGGAAAGAGATCCCGCATCATCATATTCTCTTTTTCTTGATGAAAAAGAAAGAATAGATGCGGGATCTATGGCTCTTCATTACAATCTCCAGATGATCTTCACGTTCTCTCTTTTCATAAGAGAGAAGATCACAGGAGATTGTAATCAAGAAGAGCCATTAGAAAGAAGAATTCCATGAAAGGAGATCCATCAACAGATCCATCTAGCAGCACATAAATAAAGAGAGGAAGTGCTGCTGGATCTGTTGGATCTCCTGAATTCTTCTTTCATCATCTCTTGTATTAATCCTCCCCGGTCATCTGCTGTCATCTTTCCATTAAGAAGGAAAGATTATATGACAGCAGATGTGGGGAGGATTAATGATTCAAGAGATGACGATTCCCAAGCCTTCGATGAGCTCGTCAGCATTAATTGTGGCGATCGGTTAAGCGATCGTCAGGCCACAATTAATGGACGAGCTGATTCATCGAAGGCAGGGAATCGATTCCTGATCGTCTTCCTGAAGGAAGAAATCTTGATTGATGGCGGGATCGCATCAGGCGATCGATGATCCGCCATTTTCAATCAAGATTCGATCAGGAATCAAGAAAGAGTTTTAAGATTTCTTCTTTATCAAAATGAATGAAAGTGATAAAGAAAATTCATTTTGAAGAAGAAATCGAAACTCTTTCTTTATGAACGAAGTGATCCTTCCACTGCGGTGCTTAACTCTGAAAGAGCCGGCATATGCCGGTTAAGCCCGCCAGTAAGAGGATCATAACTTCGTTCATCAGGAGGTTTAAATATTTTCTTCTTAATAATGAATTCTATTTTCTTTCAGAAGAATTCATTTAGAAGAAAATATTATAATAAACCTCCTGTCTTCTCTTTTCCCTTTATTAACAATCTCTTTTTTGATCTCTTAATTTCTTCTCTTTCATAATTAATTGTGATTAATTAAGAGAAGAAAAGAGATCAAAAATAAGAGATTGATAAAGGGAAAAAGAGATGTCCTTGAAAACAATTTCTTTCTTTCTCTTGATCCACCAAATAAAAAAGAAAAGTAACGGTGGATCATTAAGAGAAAGAAGAATATTGTTTGGACATCTCTTGAAAGAGAAGCTTCTGTTATCACTTACTGGTTCCACAGGATAAGGAAAAGGAGATTGGAACCCTGTGGAACCAAGTGATAACATTAGAAGCTTCTCTTTCTATGGCGGGTATATCAGCTTCACTTCCTTTCTCTCTTTGAGCCTCATGTCTTTACTGTGGGCTCTTAAGAGCCAGACATTGAGGCTCAAGAGAAAGGATAAGGAAGCTGATGTTAGATACCCGCCATATAATTTTCATTCATTAATTTTCCCATTCTCTCTTTCTCTAATTTTAATTTGTTGTAAAAGAAATTGATAAACAACAAATTAAAATAGAAAGAGAGAGGAAAATTAATTAAGAATGAAAATTAGAAAGGAATTATGAATCCAACATATGCTTCCCTTCTCCTTTGAAGAAATGAAAAGAATGTAATCCCCAGGCTTCTCTTATTATCTTTTTTCTTTATGATTCATTTCTTTCAATAATCTTCTCCATCATCTGGTGTTCTTCTTTTCTTTTTGTCTTCTCTTTTCTTTGGAGTTGCTAAAGAAAAAGAAAAACTACAACTCCAAAGAAGAAGACAAAAAAAGAAGAACACCAAGGAGAAGATGAAAGAAATGTAATCCTGTAAGAAAAAAGTAATGCAAAGAAGTAAACGTAATGAAATGAAAAACCAATTTGTAAACCCACTGCTGTGGGAATCAAGAAAGATAACTAAGAGCTACTCTCATGCCAGTAAAAAAGAAAATTGTAAAGACAAAATATAAACCATTGGAAACCATTGACCATTAATGACCATAAACTCAAGATACTAAATGTAAAGAAATATAAGATTGAAACTGGAGAGAAGAAATGATTAGAAAAGATTAGAAATGAAATGATATGATAAACCAAAATGCAAACCCATGAAAAGAGAAAAGAGAAAAGATATAGAATATGAGTGTTATAATCCCTAGATATAAGATAATATGTAAAGACAAGAAGTTATTAATGAAAAAACCCAATGCTTGACGATTGAAAACCCAAAAATAATACCCAAATTCCTTAAAGAAAGAAAATAATTGTAAGAAAATAATTTAAGAGAACAAAAAGAAGAGTGATAATCAAGAAAACCAAATATTAATAATGATAATGAACGTAAGATAATGAATGCTGAAAAGAAAGATAAGGTGTTACGACAGGAAAATAAGTGTCTCAATCCCCAGAAATAAGATCTGATAAAATATTAAATGTAAAGAAATGTAAATAAGAAATTTAAGTTGTTACGACCATAAAATAATGAATTCCTAAAAATAAACCAATGGTGGTCAAGAGAAAAGAAAGATAAGAAAATTACATTTTTACAAGAGAGAATCAGATATTGAAACCAAAACTTCCAAAACTTCTGGGATTAGAGAAAAGATATAGGAAGTGAAATAAGATTTTGTATAGCCAAAAGATTATTAAGGTACGAATTAGCCCATAAATAATAGCCAGATGCTAGAAGATAATGGATGACCATAAAGAATATGAATAATTTTTAATGACAACTATAAAACCAATGAGAAAAAGAAGTAATAGCCATGAGATCATTAATTACTGCTGTTAGAATCACAGGAATGAAAAGAACCAAGATCTTATTAGGAGATAATGAAAAAGAACCACAGGAAACCAAGAAACTCACTGTGAATAAAGAATTCAAGAACCTCAGGAACCATCTACAGGAAGAGATCTACAGGCATGGAATGTTTTTCTCCTGAAGGAGACCCAGAGAAAGGTATCAATCATCAGGAAGTTCTTTAACAACCGTTAACGGTTAAGCCAGGAAATGGCTGTAAAGGAAATGGAAATCTGTCCAGCTTAAATCCATGCCTTGGAATCAAAGAGAAGAACTTTAATACTCTTTTCCTTTAAGGACATGGGATTATATTCCTGATCTTGAGATTATATTTCTAGGGTCCTGCGGAGCTATACTCGAGGATGGCCTGATGGCCATCGTGCGGGCAATCTTCGATTGCTCAGCCTCAAAGGCTGACCGCACAGAGCGTTACGCTGCTGCAAGCCCCAGATACTGGATGAAAAGAAATTAAATTTTATACGTCCTCCTCAGTTCCTTTCCTTTCTCTTAATCAATTGTGAAAAGGGAATGAAAACACAATTGATTATAAATGAGAAAGGAAAGGACAAGGAGGACGTAATTATTAAATTTATAATTTCTTTTCCTTCATCACGATATTGATCCACAGATCCACAATTTCTTTTATGAAAAGTTAACAGACGGATCATTATTGAGCTGAGGCTCTAACCGTCTGGTTATTAACTTTTCATAAAGAAATGTGTTATCTCGGATCTCGTGATGAAGATTCCTTTCCAACCGTCGGTCAAGAGCTCTTAAAAGAAGAACCGTGAGGAGCTCTTAATGGACCGACGGTTATGGAAAGGAATTGGAATCCATGTTCACGAGCTCAATCACTTAAAAAAAGACAATCGTGATTGAATAATGCTCGTGAACTTATGATTCCGTCTCTTAAAAGAAAATGATTCACGGTCCGTCTTTAATTCTCTTTTTATGTGGCCACACAATCATTGGCACAATCATAAGAAAGAAAAGCCAATGGTGGCCACATAAATAAAAGAGATTAAAGACATAGGACCGTGTATAATCATATTTCTTTAAGAGACAATCATTTCCTTTACTTTCTTTTTGAAAATGAAATGGTGGCTCGTTCCTGAAGAACTTCGTTCAGCCACCAAAATTCCATTTTCATAAAAGAAATTATTAAAGGAAATGATGTGGGCCTCATCTTCAGATGACAGCTACGCTGGGCCCACATGATCCGTCTAGAAGCGTTCAGCCTGAAGCTGAAGAAAGAGCTTCTACAAGACGGATCGAATCCATTGTCACGAGCTGAGCCCTCAAAGGCTCTTCTGGAAGCTCGTGAAGACAATGGATTCCTTTCATTTATGAAAGAGAAAAAGGAAATCTAATATTGTGGGCATAATAAAGAGATCAAGAAAGTAGCCCACAATAGATTTCCATTTTTCTTTTCATAAAGGAAAGATTGAGACACGATCGCTGGCATCTTCTTGATCACCGGGTTAAGACACGCTCTTCAAGAGCTTAACCGGTGATAAGATGCCAGCAGTAAGATCGTGTCTCAATGGATTCCTGAATTCCTAAGAAAATGATTGATGACTAGTCACGAGCTTCATCTTGAGGATGAATGCATCTTGCTCGTGAGTCATCAATTCATTTCTTAGGTTCAGGAATCGAATCTCTCTTAAATGCTGGCCATATCATGAGCCCAAAAAAAAAAATGAAAAAGGAACGGGCTCATGGGCCAGCATAAGAGAGATTCAGTCTCTTGATCCATCTCTTTTTTCTTTTCTTGTGAGCCCTCAATAAAGAGAAAAGAAAAGGGCTCACAATAAGAAAAGAAAATAAGAGATTAGTGATCAAGAGACACAGGAAATCCCATGAATTTTGATTTTAAAATAATTTATCGGTGGTCATGTTCATTACGATAAATTATTAAAATCAAATTCATGAATGCGATTTCCTGTCTTCTTTTTTCTTAAAAATTCTTTTTCATTTTATGATCGTAATGACCTGGCTGACTAAAGAAAGATAAAAAAGAATCGTCAGCCAGAAATACGATCATATGAAAAAAGAATTTAGAAAAAAGAAGGATTCCTGTAGCATCGATCTCTTCTCTGGTCTCATCTTTACTTTGGGCTCGTAATTCCTTTCTTTTGAGCCCGAAAGTGAGACCAGGAGATGATCGTATGCATCAGGAATCTTCATCAGGAAAAAGGATTTTCTCTTTATGATCGCAATGAAAATGACCGTCGATCAGAAAGAAAATCCAAATTTCCTGATGATGATGGAGATCATGAAGAGGATCCTATTTCCACGGTCAGGCTTTAATCATTTGTGCTCCTGATGAGCACGATGCCAGACCATAGGATCCTCGATCTGATCTCCATCAACATTTTCTTAACTTTTTCTTTCTATTGTAGATCTGGAGGATAATGTTTCCTTTTCATTTATTATCCTCCATGTGATCTACAATTAAAGAAAGAAAAATTATTTAAGAAAATGTATTTCCTTTCATTTAATTTTATTTTATTTAAAAGAGAAGGAGAGACACGGTTAATGATGGCAAGGCTTCAGGCCTTCAATCTTTGATTGGCCATCATAGTGTCTCTCCGTTTCTCTTTTAATAGAAAAATACAATTTTGAAAGGAAATCATTACAGGAAATAAAATAATCCCCGCATTAATCAATTCTCTTTTTATCTGTTGACAAATAATTTAAAGAAAGGAAGGTCAACAGATAAGAGAATTGATGCGGGGATCTTATTTCCTGTAATGGATGATGGATCAGGATGATCTGATGTCCTGTCTCGCTGGCTCTATCCAACTTTCCCCTCATGATCCTATTTCTTCTCCAGACGGATCATGGGAAAGTTAGGATGCCAGCAATTGGGACGGACATCATGATCCGATCCGATCCATCATCTGGCGGTCAGGTCATCAGGACCTGAGGCTCTTCGAGCCCCGCCACATTAACACGCCCTTATAATTTCCTCTCTCTCATCTCCCGATTGCTTTCATTTCCTTAAAGAAAGACAAAAGGAAATGCAATCTGGAGATGATTAAGAGAGAGAGAAATTAAATGGCGTGTTAATGGAAAGTTCTCCACAAACCAAATGATTGTAAGAAAAAGTTTAATGATCGTGTTTATTACGAGCACACTCGTTCACGATCAACTTTTTCTTTGTCAATCATTTGTTGGTGGAAACAGAACTTTCCATTTATAATTTGTTATTTTACTTATTTTTCAATTTATTATTTAATTGATTTTCTTTTTTACAATTAAATAATAATAAATTGAAAATAAGTAAAATCACAAATTATAAATGGAAAGTTCTGTTTCCACCAACAAATGATTGACAAAGAAAAAGTTGATCGTGAACGAGTGTGCTCGTAATAAACACGATCATTAAACTTTTTCTTACAATCATTTGGTTGGTGGAGAACTTTCCATTACAATATTTTCTTTATCACTTAATCATCTTTTTTATTAAAATGAAAATTCAAGCAAACATATTTTCCTGAAAGGAAGTTTGCATTTTCATTTTATAAAAATGATGATGATTAAGTGAGAGAAAATATTGATGATCCGTGTTCAATACCTTTTCTTATAGAAGCGGATCATTAGATTGGTCGTGAGCTTGAGCTCCCATCTTCGATGGACGACCAATCAACCGCTTCTAAAGAAAAGAGAATGAACACTGGATCATATTTCCCTTTCTTTTCTTTGAAGATCGTATGATCGTAACTACCTGCTGACCGTTCTCCCTTCTCTTTATTAAGAGTCAGCCAGTTACGATCACGATCTTCTAAAGAAAAAATAGAAAGGGAAATGATGGCACATCTAATCCTTGCCTTCTTGAACTTCTTTTATCTGTGGGTCCTGAAGGACGCATCATCTAGATGCCCACAGATAAGAAGTTTTAAGGCAAGGATTGTGCCATCGATCCACAGGTTATTGAATTCAATCCATGCTCCGAGCTCTTCTCTTTTTATTTCTTATGAGCTCGGAGATGATGGATTGAAATTCATCCTGTGGGTCAAAGAGACAACCTTCATTTGGCTTCAATCTCTTTCATTCATTTCTTAACTCACACAATTATTTACTTTTCTTTTAATTGTGTGGTAAGTTAAGAAATGAAAGAGATTGAGCCAAAGGTTGTCTCTTGTTTCCTTCTTAACGAGCTCCTCAATCCTTTCTTCTGTGCGCTGCAGCGCTCATCTTTGATGAACAGAAGAAAGAGAGGAGCTCGAGAAGGAAACGCTTTCTTGAAGAATGTCTCTTCCATCCCCGGCTATAGAAGAAATCAATTAATCATGATGCCGGGGATATGGAAGAAGACTTCAAGAAAGCAAGATTCCTGACTGACCGTTGATCATTTTCTTTCTCTTAAACATGTGCTGAAGCACAAGAGAAAGAAAAACAACGGTCAATGGAATCTTCTTTCCTTCACGACTCTCAAAGAGAATTAATCTCCAGAAACGCATTCAAGAGACGATCGTTAAGTGCTGATGCACCGATCATTTGTCTCTTGGCGTTTCTTGGAGTTAATCTCTTGAGTCGTGAAGGTAAGAGCCAGACAGGTTTGACCGCAAGGCCTTAAGGCCTGACATCCTGAGCGGTCAACCTTTCCTTAGTCTGGCTCTTACGATCAGCGGTTAAGCCGCATCAGCTATACAACCGCTCCATCAATCCAGCCGTGTGGAAATGAATGCTTCGGCTCTTAGGAGCTTGCTTCAGCAACATTCATTTCTTTCCACACGGCATCATGGATTGATTCAAGCGGTCGTGTAAACGCTGATGCTCCGCTGATCCTGGGCAGTATCGATCCTTCCTTCAAAGAGGCGTGCGCATCAGCGCATAAGGAAGACGCCTCTTGGAAAGGATCGATTAATCCTGCTGGCCCAGGGGATCAGGCCTAACATTCTTTTCTTTGATGGCATCAGCTTGAGGCTGATAATCTGGCCATCAAAAAGGAAAAGAATTGTTAATGAGGCCTGATCCGTCTCTTGATTCCGTCAGTAATTCTTCTTTTTCATTATTAGTGTGCTCGAGCATCAGCTCATGTGGAAGCACACTATGAAAAAGAAATGAATTTCCTGACGATCAAGAGACAGAGATCCTTCGGACAATCTTAGATTTCTTGGCATTTCATCCTGATGATGAAATTTGAATCCAAGAAATAATAAAGATTGACCATTGAAGGATCTCTCATCATTTTCCACCATTATTTTCTCCCTCTTTTCAATCATCGATTGCTGGTTCACTCTTAAGAGTCAGCCATCAGCTGCCAGCAATCAATTGATGATTGAAAATGAGAAAATAATGTAAGGGAAAATGATGACATTCCTTCTCTTATCCTTTTCTAAAATAAAAATTTAATTGTTAACAGCAAATTCTTAGGAATTTATGACAGCTGTTAACGTTTAATTAAATTTTTATTAATAAGAAAAGGAAAATAATAGAGAAGGAATGATTTCCTCTTCAATCTCTAAAAGAATTCTTGCTCACATAAGGAATAAAAAAAGAAAAGCAAGAATTCTTTCAAGAGATTAATGAAGAGGAAATAAATATGAAATTTCTTATCTTTCAAATGATGTCCTTCCTTCACTGGGTCCGTCTATTAAAGAAAAAGGACTGAAGACGGACCCAAAGGAAGGACATCATAAAGATAAGAAGTAAGATCTCCCTCGATTCCCAGTTTAATTTTCTTTTTCAAAAAGAAAAAAATTAAACTTGTGGAATCGAGATTGAAGGAGATCTTACATTTCATATTTAATCATGAGGTCCTTCTAATTCCTTCTCTTTCTTTTTTCTTTGGGGGCTCACTTTCTTTTAAAAGAAAAAAGCAATTCGTGAGCCCCAATCAAAGAAAAGAAAGAGAGAATTAGGACCTCATGATCATTCCTTTGGGCTCTAAAATTTTCTTTTGTAATAATTCTCCAGTCTGATGCTGTCTCTTAATAAAGGAAAAGAGACATGAGACAGCATCTGGAGAATTATTAAAAGAAAATTAATTAGGAGCCCAAGGAATGCCATCTCTTTATGGTCGTCAGACAGGTGCGTCATTAACGATTGATCAATTGATGGTGAGCCTCAGCTCAGTCATCCATCAATTTATTATCAATCGTTAATAAGGAACGCACCTGTAGACGACCTTAATAAAGAGATGGATTCCTGACAGATCGTGTAAAAGAAATTCATAACTTCCAAGCTCATCATCAAATAAAAAGAAAAAAGAACTTTCGCTTGGAAGTTAATTTCTTTTACGATCTGTTCAGGAATACCTTTCCACCAACGTGCTCGTCTTTCAAGAGTTTGATGGAGGCTCTTTAAGAGCCAATCAATGCCATCAAACGTTCTCTTGAAAGAAAAGAGCACATAAGGTGGAAAGGAACACATTCTCTTATAGTAAATGAATTTGAATCATATTTCTTGGAAATGCTTTTCTCTCAAGGAAAACCCAAGAAATATGATTTCAAATTCAATTTCCAAGAGAATGTGTCCTGGCGGTAAAGGAGAATGATGACTTCATCGCTTCCGTTCTTTCCATTTTCTTTGGAGGAAGCGATGCATCATTCTTACCGCCAGGCTTTCCCTTTCCATCCGATCTCCTTTCATTCACTTTTCAAATGAAAATTTAATTGCTTTCTTCTCTTTCCTTTGCAATTAATTTTCATTTTAGAAAAAGTGAATGGAGATCGGAGGTGGTTAAGGGAAAGAAATTCCTTTCCAAATTGAATTTTAATTATGAGCTCATCATTCCATTATTAATTTCTTTTTTCTTTTTTGGAAATTAATAATTGATGAGCTCATAAAAATTAACAATTTGTAGAAAGGAATTTGATTAACTCCTGAATGATGAATCCACCAGCACAACATATTGCCTTCCAATCAGCTCTTTTTCTTGATTGGAACGAAGGCAATATGTAGCTGGTGGATGATCAGGAGTTAATCGATTTCTTCCTGAACACCTCGTTTTCTTCCAATCAAACTTTCCCATTATAACTTTCC